CACTCACACACACACACACACACACACACACACTCACACACACACACACAGTCTCACTCACACTCACACTCACACACACACACACACACACACACACTCACACACACACAAGCGAGAGCTACCTGGTCGTCGGACACCTGCTCCAGGTACAGATGCGTGCCGTTGATCAGACGCATGCGTGTGTAGCCGTAATCCGTGCTTCTGAACGCGCTCCAGTCGCGAGGTTTAGGGATGAAGCCGTCGTGTTTCTCTCGACAGCCCTGAACAAGACAAAACCACACATCTGCTAAAATACCAACACATGGCATACTGTATCCCACAATGCAATGCACTCAACTCGCCCTTACGTTTCCAGAGCTGGAAGTCATTTTTTTAATGCAAAATTCAATTTAAAATGCAAACATGAAACACGATGAGACAAACTGAATCCTAAATGTTTATTGTTGGGTTCTGGAAGTTGGTGGATGATTTTTATTACAATGCATTCTGCTAAAAAGGTGGTTATTTAGGGGTCATTCACGCAGAACACATTTTTACACTGCACTGCGGTACTTCTGCTTTTTTTTTTTCCCTAAGTAAGCGCATGTTAGACTGTTATTTTAGTATCACTGAAATACTATTATATAACTATTATATTTTTTTGTAACACTTTACAATAAGGTTAATTTCTTACACCTCTACAGCATTTATTAATCTTAGTTAATGTTAATCTCAACATTTACCAATGCATTATTAAAATCAAAAGTTGTGTTTGTTAACATTAGTTAATGCACTGTGAATTAACATGAATAGTGAACGACAGTAGTTTCATTAACATTAACAAAGATTACCGTAATAAATACTGTAATAAATCTATTGTTCATGTTAGTTAATACATTAACTTACATGAACTGATGGAAACTTATTGTAAAGTGTTACCATAATTTGTATTAATAGTTTGAATTAGATTTTTATATTTTCTGTTTTAATTTTAATTTATTTTTACCAATTTTGTTTTGTGATTTTTTACCATTTTAACTTTAGATATTTAAGGTTAAAATGAATAAAAATAAGACGTGTTGCCTTGCCAAACAGCTGTTTTTTTTTTTATATTTAGTTTTTTTTTCATTTTTTTTTCCACACACACAGACACACACACACACACATACACAGAATCAGACACACACACACAGTTTAGGCTTGGAAACAATCATTAAAAATACAGACTGAGATACTGATACTAGAGGTAAACAGGGAAAAAATGTAACTAATAAATATATTCTCACACGTTCCCTGGTTGATTAATCACAGTACATTAGACAACTGTGTAGTATTACAAGTTTTCTGAAATGATATGCTTAAATATGCAAAGGAGGCATTATCTAATTAAATATGTGCTAATTTGCATACATCTCCAGAGCATGAATTTGAACATTGGATAAAGCCAGATTCATTATTCTTGTTTGATTTTGTTGTCATATTAAAGGTTTTTCCAGAGGGGGTTTTTTGGATTTCTATTTTAATCACTTTTAATAATATAAAAGTTTAATATAAAAGTTAATAATATAAACACTTTTAATATTTTAATAAATAAATTTAAAAAACTGCAAAAAATGATTTTCTTCCTCAGTATTTTTGTATTGTTTTCCAGTGCAAATATCTAAACATTCTTAACTGAAGATATATTTACTAGAGATGCATAATGACATAAGATGTAAAGTCTTGTTTTCTGAAAATTTTTTCAAAATTTTAATAGGTTTTGTTAAAAAAAAGAAAAAATATCTGCTAATGGGGTCAGAAATCAAAATTTTGAAAACATTTTCAGAAAGCAAGACTTAATATCTTATGTCATTGTGCATCTCTAGTGCAACAGACAGATTGTTTTTAGGAATATAGAGAGGAATAAAACTGTAAAGTTTGGTGTTTGTTAGAGAAAAACTCTTTAAAGATATGGATTGTGATTGGAATCTACAGACGCAAATAGATAAAGTGCAAAAAAATAAACTCTTAAATGTGTATTTTGGATGTTTTCTTTCCATGATATGGAAGCAAAATAGACTAAAAACTCAAAGTTGACCAGTGCATCCCTTAAAACGGCGCAATCCTCTTACCGTACTGATAGAATAAATCCTCCAGTCCAGGAGCAACGGGTTTCGTGTCATTGCGTCCAAGTCGGACCTGAAACAGCAGACATCACCAAAGACAACATTAACCATCTGACCTCGTCTTGAGATGGTACTGAAACAGAATCACACACAGCATGAGATCTGAGATCACACACATAGCTCTGGAAGTGTGTGCAGTCGTCTCCGTCATCGTTGGAGCAGTACATGGGTCTGTGTCCCATCGTGATGATCCACGGCCGCTGCGCTCGGTTCTCAGGACGGTTCGCTTCCTTTATCAAGCACAGAAACACTCGAGAATATTCCCTTGCTTTATCCATAAATGCCACTCAGTTTTGCTGGATTAATGCTTAAAACTATAAAAACATGCCTGATTATCTTCCACAGTTTTAAGGATGTTTCAATATTTTTTACAGTAAACCTGTTTAAAGGAATAGTTCACCCCAAAATGAACATTTTTTTGCTGAAAATGTGCTCATCCCAGATCAGGATGAGTTTGTTTCTTCATCAGGTTTGGAGAAATGTAGCATTGCATCAGTGTCTCACTGCAAGTGAATGGGTGCCGTCAGAATGAGAGTCCAAACAGCTGATAAAAACATCACAATAATCCACAAGTAATCCACAGCACTCCAGTCCATCAGTTAACATCTGGAGAAGACAAAAGCTGAAACTAATCCAGCATTAAGATGTTTTTAACTCAAATACATAGAGTCCATAATCCATAATAACTCTTCCTCCAGTGAAAAGGTGTTCTGGTCTGAATCAGGAGAGAAATCTGCACAGATCAAGCAGCGTTTAAACAGCTCTAAACTAATATGAGAGACAACAGGAGATGCACTTTTTCACTGGAGGAAGCGGTATTATGGATTATGGACTCTATGGTAGTTGAGTTAAAAACGTCTTAATGCTGGATTTGTTTCAGCTTTTGTCTTCTCCAGATGTTAACTGATGGACTGGAGTGCTGTGGATTACTTGTGGATTATTGTGATGTTTTTATCAGCTGTTTGGACTCTCATTCTGACGGCACCCATTCACTGCAGAGCATCCATTGCTGAGACACTGATGCAGTGCTACATTTCTACAAACCTGATGAAGAAACAAACTCATCTACATCTATGAACATGATTTTTACAGTGTTCGTCCACAGTAAAGTCGATTTCTGAGAGAGCACAGCAGCATGTGTTGTGTATTTGTACCTGTAGATCGGCCTGTAGCCAGTCATACTGTCTGAAGAGCAGATCCAGGCCGTATTCCAGATAGAAATAGACTTCAGTGGAAAAGGAGATGATATGAGCGGGTCCAATGTTCCAGCTACACAAAGTTATAAACATGCTTCAGTGTTCAAAAACTGATTGTGCCAACACTAAATGTTTCTTCAGACTGGGAAAAACAATCATCCAGCAAAGCAGAGCTGGATTCTTCATCCTCTCTGTGTTTAAAGCAGAACCTCAGTAGTTTTTCCAGCTTTCTCCCACGAGCACAGATATATCGCTCGTTCAATTATGACGTTCCAGCGCAGAGATGATTCATAACATACGTACTTAACTGACTATAATCTGCACCTTATGACCTCTCTCAAACAGTTTATCCAGACATTATCATTGAGCTCATGTGAAGAACTACAGGATAAAACAGGGAGAGTCTTTCTAGTTTTCTTTCTTTATAGTGTAAGTGGAGATTTCTGAGATAAAACTCATAGATATAATAGACAAAGTGCAATAAAACAAACACTTATTTTCTTTCCACCAGTCTGAAAGATACAGAAGCTTGTTTCCGCCACAGGATAAAGAAAAATAACAAAGATAACTGCGACTTTTATCTCAAAATGCAGACTTTTTTTCTGGCAATTCTGAGAAAAAAGTCAGAACTGTATGTTATGAACTCAAAACTGTGATATATAAAGTAAAAATTGTGAGAAAAAAGTCAGAATTGCGAGAAAAAAGTCAGAATTGTGAGATATAAAGTCTGAATTTGCAAAAAAAGTCAGAATTGCGAGAAAAAAGTCAGAATTGTGGGATATAAAGTCTGAATTTGCAAAAAAAGTCAGAATTGTGAGAAAAAAGTCTGAATTTGCAAAAAAAAAGTCAGAATTGCAAGAAAAAAGTCTGAATTTGCAAAAAAAGTCCAAATTGCGAGAAAAAAGTCTGAATTTGCAAAAAAAGTCCGAATTGTGAGAAAAAAGTCTGAATTTGCAAAAAAAAGTCCGAATTGTGAGAAAAAAGTC